CTGTCGTTGGAGATGTGTATAAGAGACAGCCCCCGCCCCGCGCTTGTTTCCTCTTTTCTGCCTGAATGGATAACGCACTCTCTTCCACACACAATCAGCACATTATGGGTTTGGTTCACGATCACCGCGACACGGAACAAAAAAAATCAGATAAGCATGCCCTGAAACCCGACCAGCGCTTCTTCTCCCTACCTTACGATACGTAGAAAAAAGGCTCTACCCGAAGCATCTTTGCCTTGCCCGTGTGCACGCCGGCGGGCAGTAGGCAAGGGGGTCTTCGTGGCGCCACATCGGCCCACTAATTAATATTGCCACTGCCGACACCAACACAAGAACCGAACGTCCCCGACGCGAGGCAGCCGTTGGCGAGAAGACAACACGATCAACCACAACGAAAATGTACCCCCCAAACCATCTATAGACAGGTACCAGAGTTTATGCAAAAAACATAAGTCTCATAAAATCATCCAAATCTGCACCAGGCAAATCTGCACCAGGCTTCTCGCTTAGGGAGCAACTCGCTCCGATAGCTACTTCACGCATTCAACATCCACAACCTACAAAAACAAATAACCACGTATGCCTGGCAAAAAAAAGTCCGCCGGCACCAGACTACAGCAGAAGCTTATCCGCCGCCCTGTGCGCCTTCGCCGCCATACACCCGAAAAGCTCATCTAAAACTCAACTAAACACCAAACATACACAGCAGCCTGAACATCATCAAGAGAGCAGCTATTATATAACCACCGACCCCACGCCAAGCAGGCATCAACCAGAGCTGAACCCGCGTGGATCGATGAGCTCGAGATACCTCTCACTCCACTTGTCGTTGCGGCGTGTTCTACATTCACAAACAACCCAAGCCAATCAAATCATGCCACAGAGCGCGTCGACGGTGCCCGTCGCTTCCAACTTGCAGCACAGAACGCGAAGTGCTGTTGTATTTAATCTGCCGTCCCGCGCGCAGCGGGCAAGGACAACAACGCAACGCTTTGTCCCCTCCGCCGCCCACCCCTCCCTCATAGAAATGAGACGGAAAAAACGAGAACGGTCGCCAGCACCAACAACCGAGTTGAGTAAAGCTTTCGAGCGCTTACACGGTAAGTAAGCACGGCCAAATAACAAGCGTTGGGGCTGGGTTGTCATGGAGCCAGCCGGCCCGCTTGTTGGACCCTTTGATTACTTCTCATTAGATGATAATCGTACTGGAACCGGTACCCGCTTCCTGGCAAGGAAAATTATACACTAGTGCTGTTGGCTTGGCGTTCAACATCCCAATAACAACTCGCGCATTTTGTACTCCAGACGAGGAACACAGGACCCGTCGGGCTAGAGGCGAAAGGCCTGGAATGCATGCGCTAGGGTAGCATGGGGCTGCCGTTCCCTCGTGAAGCATGATACTGTAATATTCTGCGATCAACAAACGAAAAGATAACCCTACTACAGCCCAACCGTGGGCCCTAGCTCTCCCCAAGGTGACCCGTGTTGCCCGGACATTCATCAACGTAGCCAGTTGACTCGAGCGCGATTTCAACTAGTATTCCGTGCGTGGCTTTTGCCTGTAACAAATCCAAGCTCGCCCTCCAAGTCCATCGAAACACGTACCCGAAAGACAACGACCGCAAAACGAAACAGAGAGAGGGGAGCAATCAAGGGCATGCATGCGTCTTGGCGCGTGGCGGTTATGTCCCCTCCAGATGAAAACGGCATTACCGCGAACCAAGCCAGGCTTGGCCGAGAGAACCCACGTACACGGGCGGGTCGGCCGGCACACGGCCGGACCAAAGAACAACCACAGCAAAACGCTACGCGCCAGCCAACCACATCAAGGCAAGGAAGGACATCATCGCAGACCAACGCACCCAACAAAAAAGCAAACAATTTACCCCCCAACGCACATAACAAAAAGCAAACCATCTACCTCCCGCACGCAAAAAGCTAGAGCGGGCGAAGAGAACAAACTGGAGCTTGGAGGTCGAGTGAAGACAGCAAATGCTGTACTCTGGATCGCTCACTTTTCACGCGAAAGGAGGGTGGTCCACTACGTGGCGTCAAGATAAGGGAAAACAACAAAGGCGGTCGTCAGCGAACGATCTCGTCCGCGACGGGTGCACCCCCCTTTCCCATGATACCGTCGGGGCCCCCGATGCCGTTGACGGTGACTCGGCACGGCAAGGGGCAGCCACAACAGAACCTGCGCGGAAACAAGTTTTCGCACAAACGAGCAGCCAGCCCGGCCGCAAAGAGAAGGGGATAATGAGGGCAAAGAGAACGGGATATTGAGGACAAAGAGAACGGGATATCGAGGACAAAGAGAACGGGATATTGAGGACCACCGAAAAACACGCGTTTGATCGAGGACCCCGCGCTTTGAACACACACACGCACGCAAAGTTGAGGGTCATGTCGCAAGGTAAGATCACTGCAAACGCAAACGGTGAGAGACAAGCAGGTAGGGGCAAGCTACCCACCCCCCCGGCAAAGGTGCGCGTGATGGCGCTTATCCCCCCTTGACCTCGGCCCACATCCGGGAGCGCGCGATAAACCGACGGATGCATGGCAAAGGAAAGACAGCTCTCGACAAGAAATTTCGTCAGACCACCATTTCCAGCGTTGGTCTCTTCTCGCTTGTCGATGGAAACACTCTTGGTTGTCATTGGCACCATCTTGGTTGTGAAAAAATCGAGCTACGAAAGACAGACAACCTATGTACCGTATCGCTACGTACTCACATGACACACAGGTCGATCGTACACGTGCCGTCGATGTTTCGGTTGGTGCTTCCACCCATCTGGAGAAGAAGGAAACATCCGGCGCGCAGAAAGGACGGNGGGGGGGGGGGGGGGGGGGGGGGGGGGGGGGGGGGGGGGGGGGGGGGGGGGGGGGGGAGAGGGGCATCGCGACAGCTTCAGATATCGCGTTTTTTTTAGATTTTATTTGCATGGAAGCACCTGATGAGCGCGACCATGGCTCAAGGGCAAAGTAGCCCAGAAACTCGCATGGGAAATAAGCGGAGACCTCGATATATACATGTATATTTTATTTTATTTTATTTTATTTTTTCTCCCATCATTGGACTCCGTCGTCTGCCCCTCTGGCCCCTATCCTCCACTTCTACTGGCTAGACGACCCAACCGGGGTCACATAGGAGGGGGGGGCTGGACCCCCTCCTGCGGTTCCTGCCTGAGATATTTTTATCGCGAGAAGGGTACAGCAATCCCTTCCCTCGCGACTTACGAAGTCGATTATGGTTTACTAACAACCGAGCTTTGCAGCACGTCGCTTTCATCCTAGACCAGGATATATTTAGTGAGAAAAAAACTCACTCTGCCGGGACTCGAACCCATGACCTGGCCCTTAGGAGGCTGCGAGGCTTACCCACTAGACCACCGGGGCGACCGGGCATATATGTAAGCCAGCGAATCATGTCGAACATGGCATGGTTGAATGGGTTGTGGTACAGCACCCACACTTCATATAAGCGACAGTTTGAGATGCCAGCACGTGCCGCGAGGAGCGAAACAATCCAAGGAAAATGGCCTGGTTCTTTCCAAGACTGTTCAACAACTCTTTCATAGTTCGAAAGAAACGGAGTCTTCCGGAAAGGAAGGAGTCATCTAATTACTAGTTCACCTCGAAGAAGAGGAGGTCGACCAGCAGCAGCGAAACCAGGGCAGTCGCCTTTGTCTCCACCTGCAGGAACACGCGCAGCAAGGGTTTCATTTCAGTAAGCAGGCGTTTTCGGCACGAGGTGAGGCCACAGGGTCCATGTCCAGGCAGGTAGTTGTTGTTGTTGTTGTTGTTTCTCACATTAGCTCTAAAAAAGAAAGATGGGGAGCCCGTGGTCTCAAAACCCGGCATACACGACCCCACGAAGAAACAGAAAAAAGTAGGGTACAAAAACCACTCGGAAGAGAAACAAAATGATAGAAAGAAAGACCAGCTACCGCACCAAACGAGAAAGAGCGTCGAGGAGACCGATCAAAATAAAATAAAAGGAGAACGGGGAACGCTTCCCACACCCGCCTACAACGCCGGAGGGTTCCGTGCCGGGTTCCCGCCGACCAGGCATCCCCCGCCCTGCACCACACCCCAGGGGGTGCAGCAAGACGGGGGGCGAAAAACAAACACACATATATTCCCACAAAAAAAATGAAAAAATCGAAGGACAACGTACACCAGTACCAGGTACTTCAGCAGTGCAGTATGCACCAGCGCATTAGTGTAGGGTAGGCACCGCACGAAAGAGGCAGCAGAGGTGGAGTGTAGTAACTGAGGGCGGTTGTGAACAAAACCAGGAAATGCACAACAAAAAAACATCATCCCAGAACCCGTGAACTCTGGGTGTCTCCTGCTACAGAGGCGAGGTTTTAACGTCGGCAGGGACAACGAAACGAACAAGACCATCCCAGAACTCATGGGACGTAAGCATTCGCCACCCTCCCACCGCCCAAAAAAAACGTGCGGTCCTTGCCTTGAGATCTTGTGGGAAGCTGATGGTGAACTTGTCGGCGTCCGTGGCGATTTCCTTCGCGATGTCGGCCAGGCTGCTCGGAGCCAACTTCTTCACCTCCCCTACCTGAACAGAACAAAAATAAGGGGCGATCGATAAGATCCTCCATCACACAAACGTACGCATCGTACGAGGGTCGTGCGCACGGGTCGTTGTTCATGTTAAAAAAAAAAACGCATGTCATCCCAGTCGCGTCCCCCCCCCCCCCCCC